AAATAATATAAATGTGGAACATAGAATAATTTTATCAGTCATATTTGTAACTAAAACAAAAGAGATTTTAAAACATACATTATCTTGGCAAACATGAACTTTAGGAATTTATATTTGATATGCATTTTACTACCATTAGCAGAAGTTAATTTTTCTTGACATTTTTCATAATAAGTAGTAAAAAGTAAACCTTCTTGTATACAATTTAAATCAGCACCAGTATCAATTAAAGCAATTAATTCTAATTCAAAGTTATTGATAATTATTTTGATTTTAGAATACCATTTTTGAATGTAAAGTTTATTAATTAGACTTAACCGTTTTTCTTCAGGATTGTTAGATTGAGAGTGGTGTGATCGGTTGTCAAATAACAAATTATCAGGATTAGTGGGATCAGAATCATGTTCAGATTCATGTGTGGATTCTTGATCATTATGTTGGAAATTATCTAGACTTTTATTAAGTTTTAAAGCAATAATGTCGTCTTCTAATTTTCTATCTTTAAGTTGTAATTCTTTGAGAGTTTGTTTAATCTGATTGATTTCTTGTTGTAAATCTTGTAATGTAACTTTTTTTTGTTTATTTTTAAATCTGTCTAAAGTTTTAGATAAACTAATTATTGGTTTATCAAACTTGGGTTTAGTGTCTGAATGGATTAACAAAGATTTTAATTTATCAATATATTTTTGTTTTAATTTTGGATCATCTAATTTACTAATTAGGGCAATAAGAGCAGATTCTTCTTGAGTGTTTTTGGTAAGAACAGTAATTTGTTTAACGGGTTTACAACAAACATCATTACATCCTATATTAATAGGGTTATCATAATCATCACTAGGTGATTGGTAATCGGACGAAGTATCGGGATGATCAGAAGAAGAGGAACTACTAAGAGATTGATTTAATTGAAAGATTTCATATAATTGATTTTTGGAGTTATCATCAATTTGAAGTTGATTAACTTTATCTTTTAGTTTTTGTTTTTCTTTACATTTATTTGAATAATGACCTTTTTAACCACAATTATAACAAGTAATATCTTTGGTAGATTTAGATTTCAGATGTGATTTGGATTTATAATATTTCTTTTTAGGTTTAGTATAGAATTTATCATTTGATTTGGAAGGTGAATAATTCTTTTTGTAGTTAGTAGAATATTTGTATGATGATTTATGTTTATTTTTGGAATATTTGTGGGATTTCCTACGAGAGGGTGCAACAGGAGGTAAACCATATTGTTCACAAAAATTGCCTAATTCATATTTAGCTTTATGTTTATCTTTATTAGCTTTTTGAGTAAGTTCAAGATCAATACACATTTTTAAACCTTCTTTTTGAATAGTGCTAATTATATCACCATATGTTAAATTATCATATTCAATAACGCAAGTAGGTTGACTAAGAACATCTCTAATTTTGTGAGCAAATAAGCTAGGTAAGCCATTAATAAATTTTTCTTTCCAAAATGGTTTAGTACAGTCTTCTCTTAACATAACTCGAGAGGTAAATACATTTTTATACCATCTAAAATCACTTAAGGTTGGACAAGTAAGATTACTCAGTTGATCATGGATGCAAGAATATATATTTGTAGGTGTACCAATGAAATGTCGGACTATTGTATAGATTAATTGATTAATTCCGTCAGGGTGACAACATCCTATAGATTCATAAAAGATAGGTAGACCATTTTCATCAGTTTGATTGGCATATATGATTGAGTCACGTTGTTCTTCAGTAAGGTATTTTTCCCACCAAGATTTGAGCATACTAGTGAAACCAGAGGTAATTAAGGAAACAATTTCAGGTTGAGAATATTGGGGATAATTACTGAGATAACTATTTGCAACCATAGATAAATGATTTAATTTTTGAAGGATCTGATCTTCACTGAGACCATCAATTTTCCATTCGTATAATTTTTTAGCAGAAACAGAAAATTGATTATTAAGATTAGTTTCTTCAAATTGGAGATAAGGTGGAGTAGGCCGAGAATACCAGTTTTTGGTAGTTTGAGGATTAACTTTGGGATAATGAATTTTATTAAGATTAGATGATTGAAATTGTTGGGTTAATTGATTTATTTCATTATCAGTAGTGTCAGTTTCAGATTGATCGAAAACAGTGTTGGTAATAGGTTGTTGATTTAAAACAGTAAGACCTTTATCTTTGGATGTAGAAGTATCATTGGGGGTTAACTTAGTAAATAAGTGTTCAATAGCTTTGACAGTAGATTGATCATTAGTAATGAGGCTAGTTCGTTTAGAACGATGACTAGGGAGATTAAGTAAAGGTTGGTCTAAGGGTTTAGTGGATTTTGCGGATTGTTCATCTAAATTAGTTTCTATTTTATCTAATTGTTTACCAATGGTTTTTAGAAATTGATTAGTGTAATTATTTTGTTCAATAACTTTTTTAATTTCAGGGTCAGTGCCAGGCAATTTAAAAGGAGAGGCTGGAACTTCAGAACCTTGATGATCAATAATTATATTTTCTAATGGAGGATGATTAGAACTAACAGAAGTATTAGGAGAAGTTTTCCATTTATGTTTAGTGACCGTGTTAACCTTTTTGTAATATGTTTCCATATATTCAAAGAAAGGTAATTCAAAACCATATTCAACCATAAAATCATACCATTTTCTAGTTATTTTGGATTGTTGAGCAGAATCATATTTAGCACGATAAGCATGTCTTTTAGTCTTATTTTCTTTGGATCTAAAGTCAATAAGTAATTTATTTAAATCAGGAGTAAAATCCTTTTTGATTGTCATTAGTTAAGGATTTACCGGAGGTATAAATTCTTCGAAATCAGTTTGAGAAGTATTTGAAGCAATGTCTTCTTCTGGTAAATGTGTGGGAGTAGTATAAACAGGTTTACTAATCTGGGAACTGGTAGAATTATCAATTCCTTTTAATTTATTTTGGGAAGTTTGGTTAGTTTGACTAAGATGTATTTGACTATTTTTTCGAAATAAAGGAGTGTTAAATATTTCATCTTCATTTGTAATTTCAGTAGGGACACTAGATGTACTATGTCTAGAGGATTGACTTCGATTAAATTTAATTCGGACAGAACTATCATTGTATTGTTGAATATCTTGTATGGAGGATTGTTATTGATTGTGTTTGTAATTTTCATTGACAGTAACCCATTGATCAGGTAAATCTATATTCTTCCATTCAATCATTTGAGGAACATTAATATTGGATTCATTACTACTACTGCTTTGAATTAATAAAGTTTTATCTTTGGGGCTTTTGTGTAAAGCATGAACATTTAAATTAGTTTGCATGCATTTATAATGAACACGGTAAATTAAAGCAATATTATGAACTTTTTCCAACATTTTAGTAAATGATCCATGTAATTGAATGTTTAATGTTAATGCTTCGAGAATATGTGGATCGCGTAAGCTAAGTGTAAAATCAGGAAAACAATTAAAATGTACTGGACCTTTATGAAGACCAGTTTCCATCATACCCATTAAACTATCATTGTAATTAAGAAAGCGAGCATCTCTTAAACATAATAAAACAGAAGTGTTTTTGCCGACCATTGTTAATGGATTTACACCAACTTGAATTAAGCCAACATGCATAAAATTATAACCATTATTTAAATGTCTTTTGATTAATTTTTTATCAAATAATTGGCAGGTTTCCCTAGGTTTTTCTAAAGCATAAACTTGTTCAATAGTTTTAACATGGAGAGCTACTTTAAAAACATTCTGTAAAAAAGTAGTTTTATAAATCTCTTTAATTGGCAGTTTGGGTATATTCCATCTAGCATCAAATTTATCATTTTATATTTCAACATCTTCTTCATTAATGACTAATCCTTGATTAGGTATTGAGGGCAAAGTTGTTGACCTAGAACTTACTGATGAGTTACTTCTAAATAATCGACTCATTGCTTTGTTTAATTAATCAGTTTTACAGATATCTTAATACATACCCTATTCTTGTCAGTTTCATCACATACCTAGTATACATACATACCCTATTCGGAAGACCCCTAAGTCCAACACGGCCTAACACTAAGGACTTACTTAGGACAAGGACGAAAGTGGGTGACTTAAACTAGGTGGATAGAACAGACTGATCTTGTGGGTGATTAAGATGAACTGAAAACAAGATTAATCAAATAAACAATAAAGAAGATTGAGTAGAAGTAGCAAAACAGTTAGAAACAGGATACAACATCACTTGGCTCTGATACCATAAAGGCGGAAGCAGCACATAGAGAATGAAGGAGATGGATTACGAAATCAAAAGGATAATAATTTGATTTGATTATTAAACAACACACAAAACTGGAATGCACATTTCAACAAAACATTTAATTAAAAACATTATTGAAATATTTAAATATTTAAACATTATTGAAATATTTGATTATTAAAAACATTATTTAAAATATTTAAAAAATTAATTTGAATTGAGTTTTGAATTATGTGTTTGGTTATGAGTTTGAAAAGTAATGATTATGTTCTCAATTGAGTTTTAAAAAATGAGTGTAGAATTATGATTTGAAAACTCAAAACAAACACCACACTCAAATCAATGGTGAAACTATAATTTGAGAGGTTTACCAAACGGAACCTAACTTTTTACCAACTTTCCAGAACACCACTCAATATTTGTTCATTTCACATGTAGATGGGATTGCAAAACAAAATAAATTATTCAAATTCAATCCGTGTTTGACTTATTAAAAATTTATTCAAGATCAAATTTTTATATGAATGAGTCAAACTTAAACACTTTTTAAAATATGTTTAATTTTTAAAACCAAGCTTAAATAAATTAATATTTAACTCGATAAACATATATGCATTATAAAAATCAAATTATTCAAGTTTGGCTCATTAAAAAACTTATTTGAGATTTATTCATCATATAAATAAGTTAAGTTTAAATATATTTTAAAGTTGATTAATTTTCAAACAAAACTTAACCAACTTACTGTTTGTAACATTGATGAATAAGTTTATAAATAAATGAAGAATCTAAACTACTAATTCACAAGAAAAAGTGCCAACGTGGCAAACGTTGGCTATTCGGACTGAATGTCCAGGTCCGACCTGTCGAGGAGCTCAGCTATTAAAATAAATACAAAAGGATTGTTTAACAAAATATTTACTATACAAAGGCTTAAATAACAAAATTAACATGCACCATTCACACATCTTGTTTCTTGCCAAATATAGCTTCTCTAGTCACAAGCTCAATCCCCCTTACCCACAACTTAGCCATTTCAATCCCACCATCACAAACAAAATGTACCTCCTTGTTCTTGGTAGTAACCACCCGAAACACTCCCGGTTCGCCACCGTCAAACTTCTTGCGGCGATTCCACCAAAATGTCGAACTGGGACCCACCTCAGCCCCCTTACATATCACATTTCTCTTGCTTGATTTCCCCCAACTCAAAAACCCAGAAACCCTTACCATCTTCAACACTTTCCTATGGGGACATCCTTTCCCTTCCTTTGTGTGCTTCTTAACAAATGCCCTGTCCAACACAAGCTTTCGCGCAAGTTCGTCCAATATCACACGTTCTGCTTCATTTCCCACACCGTTTTTCCTTGCTAGTGCAAGCGCAGTCTCAAGTCTTGCATTCTCAATGTCACACTTTGCCCCATTTAAGATTAGAAGTTCACAAACATTCCCATGACCTCCCTTCGCTGCTAACATGAGCGGAGTGTACCCATCAACGTCAACAACATTAACATCATAACCATATGCCTGACTTTAAGACGGACTAAGACACTGTCGTAGAGCCATCCATTGTCATACTCCTCTGCTCTAACTGTGTTGGAGTCGATGGCTAGTACCTGAGTACCTCTTACCACATTTGCAAATGTATTCTTGCTGGTGAAATGAATTGAGCCTCTCCTAACCTCCTCTCTGGAGTGTAAGTGCTGGGCTGGGTTTTGAGCAAAGAACTTCTCCTGTTCTTTGCTTCTATCGAAAGCTGCAAATTTGACGAATAGTTTTTTATCATCCACCCAAAGACCGTTAGCCTTTTGTACAACAACGTTTGCTGCTACTTCACAGCTATATCTAACGAACCCAAATCTGGTATTGGTGTTTCTTCTACGCTTCTGCGGAATGAATGTATCTTTTACAAATATTGCCCTTCTATATATACGTATCATATATTTGAAATATTTGAAATCTGAGCTGAAGATCTTGCATGAACGAAATCAGGAATGAAATCGATGAAGACGATCTCCAAATCTAAAGATCTCACAGCCAAAGATCTCTCACTTGGTCAACAATAGACGATCTCGCCGCCGATGATCAACACTCACAATTAAACGAGAGTTTCATTGAGATTTGTGATTGTTGATCGAGTTTTAGAAGTTTTTCTTCTCAAAAGAACATCCATTGCCCTTGCATTGTTACATAAGATGGCATGGTGGATGACGGTTCTCCCAAGATGAGGGAGGTTAGGGGAGAGGTGTTGGAGGAGTGTGCGTAAGATAGAACCACTAGCTTCAAAGTACTCCACAGCACACCAAGTAACACAGTAAGGCTCAGCTAACCCTGCTCCTACCTTAAATTCTTCTCCTGTAGCCATGTCCCATGCCCAAGCTCCGAGCCTCACTTTGATGTTCATACTAACACCAGACTTCTTTTAATTTTCAGAAAGTAAACATGTTAGATTAAAGTCGTGTGATTAGGATAAACTAAGAATAGTTCTATTAAATAAATGAACAACAGCGACAATTAATCCAAAATGATTACCTGTGGCAGCAGTCTGACAATAGAGATCTGCCTACCGACAATGGCAGCAACAAGTGCATTACAGTCAACATTGGTATGTAGAGATGGTTTGGAAGACCTAAGTAGCACCCGAGCATTTGCATTGGGATCCACTCCACACTACCACATTTAAAAGCATACATGTCATTTGATCGATCAATTTGAAGAACAATGCTTATTAAAGGTAATATTGTGACCCAGTAATCGATTCTAGTACAATGGTTCAGGGGTCCACGGGTTTACTTGTCAATGTGAGACTAAATTTTCACAAGTGCAGTAGAAATAGAAGTCCAATTGGTAGGCACTCAAGTCGAAAAGGTAATGAAGTACTTACAAAAATTAATTGGCCAATTTGGATTGTAACAGGAGGCTAATTTTTTATTGTTGGAACTTTTGGACAAATATGGCATATGTTGCTCAAAATCAGACCTATTTGGAGCAATAGTCAAGAATTTCAATTATTTTGTACACTCTATGCATACTATCCACAATTGGCAAATAATACCAAGGGGGCAATAAAATATAGTAAACAGGAAAGAAAGAATACAAAGAATTCCTAAAGAAAAAGAAAAAAAGTGTAATTTTCAAAAATAACAAAATAAAATTCAACTTTAAAAGAACTTCAGTATGACGTCCAATTGCAAAACCATGTGGGTTGGGACCTGAGGGCCTTTTTTTTCTCAAGAGGTGATTTCAATAATCAACCAACCAACAAATTCGTAGCCCAGGTGACACACAGCCTCCCTCTTGCCCAAATGAAATGGGATAAAACAAATCAATAAGCTTTTTGATTGATTCAAGGTGCAGCGAAGGCAAATTCAATTAAGGCAAGGGGCGCTTACTTTTCCTAACGCTGAGTCATCCTATTCAAATTTAGCTATGCTAATGAAACAGGAAAAGTTTTCAGAGGATATCTACCCCACAGAGGACTGCTAGCCACTCCCAATTCCTTAGGCACGTGACACCCAATTTGCTTTGATTTGTTACTAAGCTTAAGGGTTGACTATGCAGATTAGCTTACAGCTTACACTGACCCATTTGATCACCATTACTTACAAACATCACGGTTACACAGTTCGACAAACCTTACCTCTAATAATTTCAGTCGTATAACAACTTGGTTCATCATTTCCACAATTTACATCCATGGTTGCAAAAAAATTGAACTATTCAATTCAATCATATGAGCTCCAAAATCATTCATTATTGCAATTTGTAGGGTTGTGTCATGTCACAGCAAACCACATGCATGAAAGAAAATATAACAATTACAGAAAAACATGAAGTACCTTGATGAGTGTGTCGACCACATCAACAAAGCCTCTACATGATGCTGTGACAAAAGCGTGAACAGCTACATGAGAGCAAATCATGCTGGGGCCCATGAGAAGCTCAGCAGGCCTGCCTTGCCCCACATAGCTTGCTTCCAAAAGAGCTTCCTCACACGCTGGCTGAGTTGCCCCACCATTCACGAGTATCTCCAATATCTCAATATGGCTCTCCCTTACTGCTGCTGTCATCGCATAGCCCCGGAACAGTTTCTGGTTCACATTAGCTCCAACACTGTCATCATAAAAATGTATAACCTCAAAAAAATTGTTTGGAATGGGCATTTTTTTTCATAAGATAATTTCAAGTTAATACATTGATCGCCAATTGACAGAAGAGTATGACAACAAAACATTAATTATGAGTGGAAATTCCCAACATAACATACTTTTAACATCAAGCTGAGAGAAAATTGGGAACTAATTTTTGAAATCCAACTTAAAGTTAAAAGGAGCTAAAATTCAACATATCAAAAAGTAAATAGATTTTCCAATCAATAACTGATTTTTCAAATTTCAAATTACTACCAATGAAAACCAACAGCTAATTAAGCTCCTAAAAAAAATTTGTGAAATAAATTCAGATTGAAAAAAGAAAAAAAGAAAAAAATAAGTTTCAGATTATAAACCAATAAATCCACAAACACAATCAAAGTGAAGATAAGAACTAATTTTGATTTTTCTCAAAGAATTTGAACTTAGCTTATCAAATGACTCCAGAGCCAAAACCATCTTCCTTCAGAGTATGCTTCTAGCGAAACAGAGTGATAATTCACTGGATTACTCACAATTGGATCTCAAAGAGAAAATTCATAAAGAAATTTGAATAGTAGAGAGAGAGAGAGAGATGAAAATACAAGAAATTTCAAGAACTGATAAAATAATCACAGGAAAAAAAGACAAAAAAGCTCTCATTTGGACATCTCAGAGTATCAAATCGATGACAATATTTGAACAAAATGGGAAACAAACACAAAATTCAAACTCTATACCTTCTAAACAAACATAGATTACACACACACATATTGTCAAAACTACATAACGAGCTTTGTCTTCATAAAAACAAAAATTATACAAAAAAAAGAAAAAGAAATGCCAATTGATGACAATCTTCAAGCAAAATGCGAAAAAACACAAAATTCAAAGTCTATATGTCGTAAGGGCATCTCCAATCCTTCATCCTCTCTTTCATCAAATTTAAATTTAAATTTAATAAAAAAAATTCTCAAAAAAATCTCCAATTTTCATTAAATGCTTATCAAATCAAGGAAGAGTCATTTTTCATCAAATTAAGAACCCATCAAATTTGAATATCATGAAAATTTAAAAAGCATTGGAGATGATTTTCTTTTCTTCAAATTTTATCAATATATATATATATATTTTAAATTTCCTCCTATCATAAATTTCATATGGGAATAGTACATATCAAATGAAAAAAATTGGTGAAGAATTAGAGATGTTCTAATTCCACACACAAACGCACAAAAATGAGACAGATTATATATATAAACACACATATTGTCAAAATTATATAACGAGCTTCGTATTCATCAAAAACAAAACAAAAACAATACCAGTACCAATACCAATCGATGACAATTTTCGAACAAAATGAGAAACAAACACAAAATTTGAATTCTATACCTTCTAATTCAAAATAATAATAATAATAATAATAATAATAATAATAATAATAAATGACAGATTACATATCCATAATGAGCTTCGTCTTCATCAAAGAGAAAAAATTAAACAAAAACAATACCAGTAATTTCCTGAGGAGCGTCACATTTCCGGCATGTGCAGCGAGGAAGAGAGCGGTGACCTCAGTCCTAAACTCTTCAAACTCGAATTGAACTTCACTAGCGGACTCATCGCGTAACACGATCTCTGTTTTTCGAGTCTTCAAGCTCACGGTTCCGATGAAGTTGACCAAGTGCATCACTCTTCTAGACCCAGGTTCAGGCACACTCTCTCTTGCTTCTTCCAACAATTTCTCTCTCCTTCTCTTGATATTCGAACTACCCATTTCAGATGACAAAAGCCCACTCGTGCGACTAACTGTTTGACTGGATACATTCAACAACTTCCGATGTTGTTGCTCACCACTTTCAGATCTAATCGTGCTTGCTGATTGCTCTCAACTTCGTTAATTGCTGCAGGAATCGAATTGAAGTTATTTAATCTATTTATAGCACATTTGACCTAGGAAATTAATAACAGTAAATGAAATGAAAATTACAGGTAAATATTAGAGGAGAACCAGAAAGTCAAAAGTTATCGCAAAAAAAGAACCAAGAAAAATATCATCATCTGAAGAAATGTCGAAAAAAGTTCTTAAGGAACATCAAAACACCGCAAATAAAAAGCAAGAAGATCATCTTCAGCAATAAGAAATTTTCTATAGCGTATGAATACTGTACGTGTATGCGAGTATATAAATTTTACTGAAAACTGTACGTGTATGCGAGTATATATATATATATACATTTAGATATATATATATATATAGAGAGAGAGAGGGACATTGCAGAGAGGAATTTCGAATTTCAGGATTAATGAATAAGGAATGAGTTAATTTTTTTAGTATTTGATTTTAAATTAAGGAATTACCTATCATCTAAAAAAAAATTAAGGAATTACCGAATTTCAAGATCAATGAATAAGGAATGAGTTAAATTTTTCGAATTTTTGGTGAAAAGTCCTTCTCATGGGACTTATTTTGTGTGAAGTTCACAGAATTAAATAATAACACCAAAAGCCTCTCAATTAAAAAAATGTCATGAATTGACTGAAATGTCCTTCTATATAAGTGAGGAATTATGAAACAATTAACAGTAAAAATTTACTATCAATCAAAATAAAATTTTGTTGTCACTATCAAAGTAAAATTTTACTGATACCACAAGTCCAAAAGTTAATTTGTGTTGATAAAATTTTACTATGGTTTAGTGTAACATTATATTATATTTTAGAGTTAATTTTTACTATTAGGTTTGCCAAAAATTGACAACTCATACAGTGTGTCACCAACACAACTTGAGACATGAATGTAAAAATAAAATTTTACTCTGAAATAAGAATAAAATGTTACACTCTAAATCTAAGAGTAAAATGTTACACCATGAATTTAAAAGTAAAATTTTACTCTATATAAAAGTAAAATTTTACTCTGAATAAGAGTAAAATATTACACTCTGAAACTAAAAGTAAAATTTTACTCTGTATAAAAGTAAAATTTTACTCTGAAAAACTAGTAAAATGTTGGACTCTGCACAAAAGTAAAATTAAAATTTGACTCTGAAAAACAAGTAAAATGTTAGACTCTGAATCTAAAAGTAAAATGTTACTCTGCACAAAAGTAAAAAAGCGGAGGCAGTGTTTGTGGCGGCTGAAATGTTTGGTAATAACCACCTCTTGACAGTAAAATTTTATTGTCATTCTAACACCAAAGTAAAATTTTACTCTAATTTTCTCAAACAAAAAACAAAGCAATAGAACCAGAGTAAAATTTTACTCTCATTATCTGAAACAAAAAACAAAGCAATAGAACCAGAGTAAAATTTTACTCTGGTTCTGTTAAATGAAATCAGATAAAAAACAACAAAAATGAAAAAAAAAAAAAAAAAAAACCAAGCAAAAACAAAACAAATTAATCAACGAATCAACATATTTAATTGAGAAGAAAAACTTCTAAAACACGATCAACAATCACAAATCTCAATGAAACTCTCGTTTAATTAAGAGTGTTGATCGTCGGCGGCGAGATCGTCTATTGTTGACCAGGTGAGAGATCTTTGGCTGCGATTAGATTTGGAGATCGTCTTCATCGATTTCGTTCCTGATTTCGTTCATGCGAGATCTTCAGCTCAAATTTCAAATATTTCAAATATATGATACGTATATATAGAATGGCAATATTGTGATAAAAAAAATAGAAATTATAAAATGTCCTTATTAAGGTAAGCATTTCCTACTCAGGGGCTTTTTGAAAATTGATTGGGTTATCCTTTACCCTGATAAAGAGGCCCAAAAGGGGGTTTTAACCAAAAATCCCTATTTAATTCAAAAACTTACAACTCATAACCAAACACATAACCCAAAATCCTATTCAAAGCTCATAAAAAAATTAAAAAATTCTAGAAATATTTTTTATTTAAAATCTAAAAATAACAGGTGCAAAAAAAAAAAAAACAAACTGAACACTGTTCCGATCAATCGGCTAGACATCCGGGTTAGCCAAATTTTCCCGCCTAGAAAGGAGTTTTCAAAAGTGGGTGTGGAATTTATAATTTGAAAACTCAAAACAAATACCATACTGAAATCAATGAGTGAAAATGTGTTCAGAGAGCTTCTCCAAACACAGCCACTTTTTTTGTCAAATTAAGGATGAACCAAATTAATTGTTTGGGATGGACTATATAAGTGCACTTTTTGACTTTTTAGATAAAAAATTAGAGAAAAAAATATGGTTGTTTGAGATAACTTTTTGATTTTTTACGAAAAAATGTGTATTAAAATATTGTATAAAATAGCAAAATTACCGTAGAACTCCTATGGCCTATGCGTACTGACATTGATGCTCTAAGGAACAAGTACGGATTGCTTTGAAATGAGATGGTGCGTTTAGAAGATATATATATATATATATATATATATAAGATGAGGCTTCCCTATATATATTCATTAAACTGGAAGGTAATCACGGGTCTTGTTTCGATAATTCGAACCGATCAATGTGTAGAACTTGTCGAGTACTATATGGCTGTAAAAAATCATGTTGATCGGATATCGATAGCTATGTGATCAAATCAATTTTGTAAAAAAATGGACGATAAAAAATAAACGGCTGACAAAAATCTAATTTGATGACATAGCTATCGATATCCGATCAACGTAATTTTTTACAGACATATATTACTCGACGAATTCTACACATTGAACGGTTCGAATTATCGAAACGGGACCCGTGGTGGCCCCTCACGGGCCCAACAGTACCCTCAAGTTCGATAAATATATATATCTAAGTTTTTTCATAAGATATATGAAAAAGTATCCCACAGCCCCCACATGTGAGCTTGTACCATCACTGAAGGGTACAATTTTGGCTTGTATTTTTTTTTTTTTGGATATTTTTTTAGTAATTTTTTGGCCTTTTGTTTTTTATAGACGATCCCAAACATACACTAAATTTTCAATAAGTTTTTTCCTTTTAATTTGATTCCGTCCCAAAATAATAGTCTATTTGGAGAATTTAATTTTTTTTAGTAATAAAACTATTACATTAAAAAAAATTAATTTTTCAAAATTACTCTTTGATAGTACAATACATTTTTTAGGAAATATCAATTATCATAATTACACTTTTATGTTGTTAATAAATTTAAAAAAAAAAAAGATAAAATAAGATATTTATATTATTTTACTCCTTAATTTTTTTTTAAAAAAGACGTGTATTTTGAGTGGGATGGAGAGAATAATAAAATTTAAGATGAACAAGTAATTTTTTAAAAACTTTTGATGAAATTTAATGAAAGATTGGAATAACCCATATCAAAACAAATTTTTACTCATTTAAAATTAAATAGTAAAAAATTTAATAAATTTAAAATCAAATTGTAAAAAATTTAACTAACTCCTTAATTAAATAGTAAAAAATTCCTTAATCAAATAGTAACTAATAGTGTTTACCAAAAAAAAAAATAGTAACTAATAGTAGAACATTCCTTAATTAACTAATTCTTTAATCAAATAGTAACTAATTCCTTAATTTAAAATCAAATACTAAAAAATTTAGGGATTTTTGGTGAAACCCCCCTTTTGGGCCTTTTTATTAGGGTAAAGGATAACTCAATCAATTTTCTTTCAAAAAGCCCCTGAGTAGGAAATGCCTACCTTAATAAGGACATTTTATAATTTCTATTTTTTTTATCACAATATTGCCCTTCTATATATACGTATCATACATTTGAAATATTTGAAATCTGAGCTGAAGATCTCGCATGAACGAAATCAAGAATGAAATCGATAAAGACGATCTCCAAATCTAAAGATCTCGCAGCCAAAGATCTCTCACTTGGTCAACAATAGACGATCTCGCCGCCGACGATCAACACTCTCAATTAAACGAGGGTTTCATTGAGATTTGTGATTGTTGATCGAGTTTTAGAAGTTTTTCTTCTCAATTAGATATGTTGATTTGTTGATTAATTTGTTTTGATTTTTTTTTTTTTTGGATTTATTTTTGTTGTTTTTGATCTGATTTCTTTTGCTCTATTTTTTGTTTCAGATAATAAGAGGAAAATTTTACGCTGGTTCTATTGCTCTGTTTTTTGTTTCAGATAATAAGAGTAAAATTTTACTCTGATTCTATTGCTCTGTTTTTTGTTTGAGAGAATTAGAGTAAAATTTTACTTTGGTGTTAGAATGATAGTAAAATTTTACTGTCAAGAGGTGGTCATTGCCAAACACTTCAGCTGCCACACACACTGCCTCCGCTTTTTTACTTTTGTGCAGAGTAACATTTTACTTTTAGATTCAGAGTCTAACATTTTACTCGTTTTTCAGAGTAAAATTTTACTTTTATATAGAGTAAAATTTTACTTTTGTGCAGAGTCTAGCATTTTACTAGTTTTTCAAAGTAAAATTTTACTTTTAGAGTAAAATTTTACTTTTGTGCAGAGTCTAGCATTTTACTAGTTTTTCAGAGTAAAATTTTACTTTTATACAGAGTAAAATTTTACTTTTAGTTTCAAAGTGTAACATTTTACTCTTATTCAGAGTAAAATTTTACTTTTATACAGAGTAAAATTTTACTTTTAAATTCAAGGTGTAACATTTTACTCTTAGATTCAGAGTGTAACATTTTATTCTTATTTCAGAGTAAAATTTTACTTTTATGTAGAGTAAAATTTTACTTTTACATTCATGTCTCAAGCTGTGTTGGTGACACACTGTATGAGTTGTCAATCTTTGGCAAACCTAATAGTAAAAATTAACTCTAAAATATAGTACAATGTTACACTAAACCACAGTAAAATTTTATCAACACAAATTGACTTTTGGACTTGTGGTGTCAGTAAAATTTTACTTTGATAGTAATAGTAAAATTTTACTTTGATTTATAGTAAATTTTTACTATTAATTGTTTCATATTTCCCCACTTATATGGAATGACATTTCAGTCAATTCATGACATTTTTTTTTAATTGAGGGGTTTTTAGTGTCATTGTTTAATTCCGTGGGCTTCACACAAAATAGGCCCAATTGGAGGGGCTTTTCACCAAAAATCCCAATTAAATATCACATATCACATTATTCATTTCAAACTCAATTCAAAACTCATAACCAAATAAATTTTTCACACTCAAATTATAATTCAAAAACTCACAAACTCAAAATACAACTCTATTCTCAAATCATATTTAGAAAATTCTACCAAACACTACCATAATTTTTTTCCCTTTTTTTTTGACAAAATAAATTATTTTATTTAGAAAAAGCACAAAATCGAGAGAGTAATTCCCTTCAAAACTCCATCTCCACCATAATTTTTTAAAAATTGACTGTTGTGGCTCCTTACAACAGTGACTATAGGAGTGTAAAAATGGTCAGCGGCCCGAAGCTCGCCCACGGCCCGAGATGGGCCCGGCCCGTTTAGGCCCTCTTGGGCCCAGGCCTAAGCCTAGCCCGAGCCCCTAGGCTAGGGCCTGGACCATCATTTTGAAGCCCAACCCCGCCCGTGGCCCAGCTCATCAGCCCACTTAAGGCCTGGCTCGAAGCCCAGCCCGCCCAAGGTCCAGTGTATTTTTTAGTGGAAAATAATAAACGTTTGGTAAAAAAAAATTTAAAATTTTTTAAAAAAAGACCAGGCCCACCCAACCTCCTTTTGAGGCCACCTAACATTGCTCGAGGCTCGACCCATTGGCCCGTCCAAGGCCCGAATGCCCCTGGGCCTGGGCTTATTTTTTGGCTCATGGCCCGGCCCGAATTTTGGCAGGAGCCTTCGAGGCTCGACATGGGCCGGGCCGGGCCAGATTTACACCCCTAAGTGACTATTGTGCTTTGTGACTATTATGCAGCTATAAGAACTTATTTTGTGACTCGTTTTAATAACTTGAATCATTTTTTTTAAATACAAATAATAGAATATATTTGTAAAAAATTAAGTTAATTGGATATTATTAACTCTTTCACCCACTCACATTTGTATTGAGTTTTATAATTCAAATCACATTTGTCATTTATTGTTTAGATGCAAATGCAATTCGATGAAATAATTAACGATATCTAATCAATATGATTGTTTGCAAATATGTTCTAGTCAATATATTTTAAAAAATGAACGGTTTAGATGATCAAAATGGGTCCTAAAATGGGTCCATATATCTCCACAATAGTTATTGTTGTGCCTCCCGCACAGCAGTCACCTCCTCTCCTAATTTTCAAGACTATATTTTGTAAGTCTTGTGGGACCTTATGATGGTGATTTGAATGGTTTATATGGTAGGTTTTGAAGAGAAAATCATATGTGCAAAAAAAATCAATTTGATCGAAAATCAATTGACACACTAATCAATCTTGTTTTGTTTTATAAAATTGATAGTAAATATAATTTTATTTAGGGTGATCTAAATAAGTATACTTTTTAATTTTTTATGAAAAGATGTGTAGAAAAATAGAGAGGTGATATAATTCAAATAAGTGTACTTATGTGAATAAGTGCACTTATATTGTAGATGCCAAACAATTCATTTTATAAAATAAAATACAATAAATTAATATATTTATTGTTGTCTGATTAAACTATTCTTTTATATATATGAGCAATGTTAGCTAGCCCGAAAAAGAGGTTGGCTCAAATGGCTCGAATTTTATCTTGCCGATCGTCCGGTGACGAAGCTGACAACCGCAGTCGACAAAGGTGAAAACCGCGGTAGAACAGCTTTCATCCAGTCGTCCAGGCGGACGACCGGCCAACACCCATTTGGGCTATTTGAGCCGCTCCTTTTCAAGCCACCAAGCATTTTTGTATATATATATATATATTAAACTTATAAAATAAAGTATTCAAATCATTCTGATGAGACCACAAAACTGTCTTAACAGTTATGAAAGAAATTGAGCATGGAGAAAAACGGGCACCCTAAAGTCAAAACACCAAATTTTGTGTGTTTGGAACCGTGAGTTTAATTAAAAAAATTTAAAAACTTATAATTAAATATACAATTCAAAAGTTAATTTAAAAATTATTTTTAAAATTCATAATTAAACACACAATTTAAAATTCAATTCAAAATTATTTTCAAAACTCATAAATAAACAGTTTTCAAAACTCTTTTTAAAATTCTATTTATAAAAAAAAAAATCTTTTTTTTTAATTTTGTTCTTTAAAATTATTTTTTATTTTAGAAGATAAATATTTTTTATTTTTAGTTTTTCAAAAAAAATATTTTTTTATTAGCTAAATAATTTGTTATGATTTAGATATATATGGGCAATTCAAAAAAATTTTAAATTAAAAAAATATTTAAAAAATATTTACAATATTTAAGTCCCTTATTGAATATATATATAGTGCCAGTGTGGAAGTACCAAAAGTTTTGGGACGACAACTAGGTTTTTTTGGTAAAAAACCTTTTAACTGAAGGGACGAACTGGTAATTTATAATACTGTTAGGGTGCTGTGTTTGTCAACTGTACTGAACCATTGCAATTCAAGAATACCTACTGGCATAGACTTGACAGGAAGATCCAACTATTTAATTGTGCACCAGAAATAAACAAGCCCTAAATGTGCTACTGAATGACAAGGCACAGATATACAACCTCTAGATATTCCATGAATGAAGAATCACAAAGATGCATCTAAAATGTTTGCATAACAATATAAAGAAGGGGCATTGCAATCATACTTGGATATTTAAGCAACTTTGATGGAAAGTTGATGGACAACTATCACAACAGATCAAGTCCCCACCATCTCCGCACATGTTGCAAGTATCATCATTTGGATCATCACCATCAACATCAACCGAATGGAATTTAATAGGTTCAGACCCCTCATGTTTACTCCATGAGTCTAGTAGGCACTGCAAAAGGGAACTTCCAGACTCTAAATATATATTTTGAAATGGCTGACTGAGTTTACTTCCAGCATGATACTCAAAATCTGAAACATTGAGGGTTTCATTGCAGCAGCCACATTGAATGCCATCTCTAGTTATCCTGCCATCAATCAATTCTCCACTACTATGGTTCATATATTGAACCTTCCCACTGAGCGGAACAGTTCCCAAATCAATCATCCAGGAAAGAAGGCTGCGTTTCCCACCATACAGTACAAAGCCTTTGCTATCAGGATTCAACCCCTTCTTTGAGTCACGAACCAACAAAGCACATCTCTTTCTATTTTTCCTCTCCCCCCGATTTGGTATCCGCACTCCCCTCGGCAATTTATTAGCTGAATCACCTTGTTCACAATCTGATGATTTCCGTTTTATCCTTCTGTTCCATGACTTGGCACCCAGTGTTTCTTTATGCTTGTACCTTGAGACACCTATTTTGTCTGTAGCATGCTTCTTCTTCAACTTCTTTTGAGTGATTCCTTCATTTTTCTTATTTTCACCCTTCAATTTCTTTTCTAACATCCATTTCCTTTTCTTCGTTACCCTGAATAGTTTGCTGAATTCCTCCTCTGGTATTGGAGAAAATGAAGAAACAGCCCTGATATCAGCATCACCATTTTCAACTTCTTGTTCAAGAATTCTGTAAGCCTTTGTGACTGACCAATAACCATGTCCTTCTGGACTGACATACACAGCATCATTGTACTCCTTGCTCAACCTGGGCCTGTATTCAATTGTCCAGCCAGCACTCTTAAGCATAGCCATTATTCGCTCTCTCAGTAACTTCTTTTCTGTTGCTCTTCCCGTCCCCAGTTCTCCCCCTTCCTTGTGCTTATTCCTTCTCAAATTTTTTACAATGATTTTCTCACCAGAATGACACAACCGACTGGCAAGTCTGCTGTGCTTTCTGCTGTCTACAAACTTGGAACCCCTAATGACTTCTTTGGCCTTTGGTTGATCACTGTTTTTCCTGGACCCTGTTTCCTTCTGGTTGTCACAACCAATCACCTTAAACAGCCCACCTTCCCCCTGCACCTTGGGGGGCCTCCCTCGACGCCCTTTTACTTTTTTCTTTCTCCTGCCAATTAATGGGGCACTTTTGTCTGTTTCAATTTCAATGATTCTTTTGTTTGAATCGTCACATCCCCCCTGCACCTTGGGGGGTCTCCCTCGACGCCCTTTTATCTTTTTCTTTCGCCTGCCAATTAACGGAGCACTTTTATTTTTGTCAATTTCAATGATTTTTTGGTTTGAATCATCACTTTCCTTCTTCCTTTTATCACCTACAACACCTCCCGTCAGTGAATCATCAACCACCTTGTCACCACCACTCATCGCCATTGTCCTTGACCTCAATATCCGACCAATAAACTCATCCTTACCATCCAAAGACATCTTATTAACCTCCTTTTTCTGTGCAGCATCATCCCCATTGGCCACAGAACTCTCCACAATTTTTCTTTTCCTCCCCCTTCGACCTCTCCCAATCTTAGGCCTACCTGTGTGGGTTTCACCATGACCATTAACATTGGCAGCTTCATTGCATTCGACATGTTCAGAGTCCTCAGGCCCATTTCTGTGGTCTTCCGTTTTTCGCTGTAGGGAATAAGCCAATGATTTTTCAACGGACTCTGGACACAAATTAGACATCTTAACTTGCATTCAATTTAAATTCACCCAAACCACATATAAACATGTTTTAATTTACATTCACCCAAACCACATTTAAACATATTTTAGGCATCACATATTTAAAAGACAGCCATGACAATATGTGGTATAAAAAATATTTACAATATTTAAGTCCCTTATTGAATATATATATAGTGCCAGTGTGGAAGTACCAAAAGTTTTGGGACGACAACTAGGTTTTTTTGGTAAAAAACCTTTTAACTGAAGGGACGAACTGGTAATTTATAATACTGTTAGGGTGCTGTGTTTGTCAACTGTACTGAACCATTGCAATTCAAGAATACCTACTGGCATAGACTTGACAGGAAGATCCAACTATTTAATTGTGCACCAGAAATAAACAAGCCCTAAATGTGCTACTGAATGACAAGGCACAGATATACAACCTCTAGATATTCCATGAATGAAGAATCACAAAGATGCATCTAAAATGTTTGCATAACAATATAAAGAAGGGGCATTGCAATCATACTTGGATATTTAAGCAACTTTGATGGAAAGTTGATGGACAACTATCACAACAGATCAAGTCCCCACCATCTCCGCACATGTTGCAAGTATCATCATTTGGATCATCACCATCAACATCAACCGAATGGAATTTAATAGGTTCAGACCCCTCATGTTTACTCCATGAGTCTAGTAGGCACTGCAAAAGGGAACTTCCAGACTCTAAATATATATTTTGAAATGGCTGACTGAGTTTACTTCCAGCATGATACTCAAAATCTGAAACATTGAGGGTTTCATTGCAGCAGCCACATTGAATGCCATCTCTAGTTATCCTGCCATCAATCAATTCTCCACTACTATGGTTCATATATTGAACCTTCCCACTGAGCGGAACAGTTCCCAAATCAATCATCCAGGAAAGAAGGCTGCGTTTCCCACCATACAGTACAAAGCCTTTGCTATCAGGATTCAACCCCTTCTTTGAGTCACGAACCAACAAAGCACATCTCTTTCTATTTTTCCTCTCCCCCCGATTTGGTATCCGCACTCCCCTCGGCAATTTATTAGCTGAATCACCTTGTTCACAATCTGATGATTTCCGTTTTATCCTTCTGTTCCATGACTTGGCACCCAGTGTTTCTTTATGCTTGTACCTTGAGACACCTATTTTGTCTGTAGCATGCTTCTTCTTCAACTTCTTTTGAGTGATTCCTTCATTTTTCTTATTTTCACCCTTCAATTTCTTTTCTAACATCCATTTCCTTTTCTTCGTTACCCTGAATAGTTTGCTGAATTCCTCCTCTGGTATTGGAGAAAATGAAGAAACAGCCCTGATATCAGCATCACCATTTTCAACTTCTTGTTCAAGAATTCTGTAAGCCTTTGTGACTGACCAATAACCATGTCCTTCTGGACTGACATACACAGCATCATTGTACTCCTTGCTCAACCTGGGCCTGTATTCAATTGTCCAGCCAGCACTCTTAAGCATAGCCATTATTCGCTCTCTCAGTAACTTCTTTTCTGTTGCTCTTCCCGTCCCCAGTTCTCCCCCTTCCTTGTGCTTATTCCTTCTCAAATTTTTTACAATGATTTTCTCACCAGAATGACACAACCGACTGGCAAGTCTGCTGTGCTTTCTGCTGTCTACAAACTTGGAACCCCTAATGACTTCTTTGGCCTTTGGTTGATCACTGTTTTTCCTGGACCCTGTTTCCTTCTGGTTGTCACAACCAATAACCTTAAACAGCCCACTTTCCCCCTGCACCTTGGGGGGCCTCCCTCGACGCCCTTTTACTTTTTTCTTTCTCCTGCCAATTAATGGGGCACTTTTGTCTGTTTCAATTTCAATGATTCTTTTGTTTGAATCGTCACATCCCCCCTGCACCTTGGGGGGTCTCCCTCGACGCCCTTTTATCTTTTTCTTTCGCCTGCCAATTAACGGAGCACTTTTATTTTTGTCAATTTCAATGATTTTTTGGTTTGAATCATCACTTTCCTTCTTCCTTTTATCACCTACAACACCTCCCGTCAGTGAATCATCAACCACCTTGTCACCACCACTCATCGCCATTGTCCTTGACCTCAATATCCGACCAATAAACTCATCCTTACCATCCAAAGACATCTTATTAACCTCCTTTTTCTGTGCAGCATCATCCCCATTGGCCACAGAACTCTCCACAATTTTTCTTTTCCTCCCCCTTCGACCTCTCCCAATCTTAGGCCTACCTGTGTGGGTTTCACCATGACCATTAACATTGGCAGCTTCATTGCATTCGACATGTTCAGAGTCCTCAGGCCCATTTCTGTGGTCTTCCGTTTTTCGCTGTAGGGAATAAGCCAATGATTTTTCAACGGACTCTGGAGCGGACGAAACTGGAACCTGTCCTTGTTGCTCGTTATCACTGGTGTTGGTGGTTTCATCGCCCTTCTTCAGAGCCAAATCAACTTTATCTTTCTCATTATTATAACCATCCTCCACCATTTTTCTTTTCTTCCTCGGCCGCCCTCTCCCAGCTTTTGGCCTTGGTGTATCAGAATTAACACCGACATTGACACCAACAGCATTTTCACATTCCATATGTTCAGACTGACCCTCAATTTTTCCGTCTGTAAAAGAAACCAATGAATCTTTAACAAAATCCACATCATCTGAAACTAAATCTGTCCCTTTCTTCTCATCATCAACATTGTCTATGACTCCAACACCCTCCATTGGACCTGAATCGACATTATTTTCCACGTCCACTTGATCATTTTCTAGCTTCACACCCACATCACTAGATCTCAACCCCTCCCTCATGTCAAGCTTCGCAGCCTTATCACTAGATATCAACCCCTCTCCAATCTCATCCAATCACACGCACAAACCCTAATTTTACAAGTCAGGTTAAAAAAAAAAGCACCAAAATAGGACCATTAAACTTCAGAGAGACGCACATCATCCGCAAAACCAAAATACTCGAGTTGACGAGCTCAGAAACCACTGAAAACCCAATAAAATAAGCTAAAATCACAACAATATACAAATTGAAAAAGAAATTATAAAATTTCAATTTCAATTTCAATTAAAAAAAAAAAAATAGTAGAACGCAAATCGGAGAGAATTGTCACTTACCAGAGCCACAGAGAAACCTAAATCAGTAGTCCTGTGTATAGTTGCGCGAGAGCTGTGAGCGTATGTCGTGAAATCGAAGCAATGTCAATGGAGTCCGAAGGAAAACGAAGAAGAAAGAGAGGATTGGAATCAGAGACGAGAGGGTTTAGATAGAGAGAGGTTTGTTGAGAGTTTGCTTTTGTCTCTTTTTGTGTCGTCTGTTGTGTTGTATGCCCAGCCCATCGTATTTGTCTCTGTTTTTTTGGGTAGTGCTAGTATAGGGGAAGGGTATGGTATGGAATTGTACTTCAGGGAAATATCT